CTCGGTTGTTCGTAATCTGCTCGAATGTCTGCCGCGAGCTCGCGTTTTTTTTCAGGCTATTCTTGCTAGCCGAAGAATACCGACTCTTGTCCAAGGTCTGAATGATTTTAACCCTTCGTGGACCAGGATCTTCTGAAGTTCTATGAATATTTCTCTTGGAATGTTGGATTGTCGACGACTCGAATAATGAAAGGAATGAATACTTTGTTCTGATATTTTGTTACGCGTGTGATCAATGTGCTTGCAAATTCTGGGATAAGATGGACGGTATCGATGACGTCGATACGTCGACATTTGTTCTGAAATATTTAAATGCAGAGACATGGTAGCACACAGTATAGTGGAACTTAATTTAAAATACCTGTTTGAGCAGTTGTTATTGTGTATCTGATTTTATTAGTGGATGCCTTAAAATTGTGGTTGTAACCACAGTATATGTGTGTGCGTAACGTAAATACATTCGGTTGTATACGATACTCTTTTTCATTAAACAATGACTTCTGTATTAAAGACACTGCAGGTAATTATTAATCATAATTATAGATTCGTAATGAACAGGAATTTATGCATTTATGACAAACATGATTAAACAAAATATAAAACAGTACGCAGAATCTAAAACTATCGAGATATTATTTTTAACTGTTGAAAATTACTAAAAGGAAAAATAACTGTTTCTTACACTTGATGCAGAAAAGTTTTAATTTTGTATAAAGATCCTCGATCCAACAATAGTACGAATATTAATGCAAAATAAAAATTGTATGCATTGATCGCATCTAATAATTTTTCTCATAAGCGAATTTTATACATTTGCATATGAGAAAAATGGCTAAGTGAAGTCCAAGAAAGCGCAGACATTAGGTAACTTGGATAATTTTCATTTTGCTTAAAGATTCGCAGTCTACTAGACAAAATAATAATTATCTTAATTAATTGGAAAAAATGTGCGAACTATATAAGCATTTAGTTAATTTCTTACTAATTTTAATAAGTTGACAGTAGTACAATAATATTTACAAATTGTTTGAATGAGCTTTGCTATTTTGCATTTGATGTATAATACATATTTTTGTCATAAGTACACAAAAATCCGCAGAAATCGCAAATAAATTCTCAAAATTACAACATATTGTTGCAACAGAATTTACTGATGTCACAATTGAACGCAACGTATCGATAGCACAGAACTGTTGCAATTTTGGTTAGAATTATAATCTTTTGTGAAAAGTAGAATTGTAATCTAATGTGCTATATCTTGCGAATTCTACAGCTTTCGTGGAATTTTTCCGCAGAAAGACCACAGAAAAGACTACACCGCAAGGATCGCGGGATGAATAGCCGCATGAAAACAATCATGCATCAAACAGTTTGACCGATTACTGCAAAAGAAACGCAGATGGATTCAGGCACGGTACGGTCTTTAGCATCACGCGAGGTATCACGAATTATGTATTGGTTTCTCTGCTGTACCTGCGGCGAGCAATATTTTTCCAGGGCGCGTTTGCGATTGGACCTTTCTTTAAACCGAAGAAACTTAGACACGTGATCCGAATCGAAGAATTTTGTGGCGTTTTTGATCTGATATTAGAACTGTAATGTATGACAATGAAACAATCATATGTATACTGAGGATATGATACATTTTTATTCATTCTCTTCTCTTCAGAAATTTTAAGAACTCTTCATTTAATATTTTCTTTAAGCCTGCTGCGATTTTTTGGATAGATCTGTCTCGTTCTCATTTTCTTTTCATTAATAGTATCATCATTGTGTAATATCTTTAGCACTTTTTTAGGTGTACATATTGTTGAAGGTAATTTTATATTAAAAAGATGTGCAAAAATTGGAAATAATATTTATCTATTCCTGACTTCTTAATACTGCATCAAAATTGTAGCTTATCGGCAAAAATTAAGAAATTTTC